CTCTAGTAGAGAACCATATTTAGGAGAGAGCATCAAGATCGACTAGTAGAAGTTAAGCTTCTCAGAGTAGGTGTCCAGTTAGATATGAGGCCAGACAGTCTGGGTTGGTTTACGCTGCTAGACGTCGATATGACCCCGATGAGCTTGGTGTGATTACAGGTACTATTATTCATTTAGTTCCCTACTCTGCCGTGTTTGATAATGGTTCTACACATTCGTATGTGTCACATTCTATTCCTTGGGTTCTTAATATTCCGGTGGAGAATACTAAGAGTTTAATAACAGTTCAGAGTTTCGTAGCTCAGTCCATAGAGTTAGGTCGTTGGAGGCTCAGTTTCCACATCTATTTCTATTAGGTAAAATTCGAGGATGAAATTTCTTTTAAGGGGGAGAGTTGTCACACCCCAAATTAAGACCTAAATTTTTTCGAAGACTAAATTGAAATTTTAATTAAATTCGAAGACCAAAGTGAAAATTTGATTAAATTTGATTCCAAATTTGGAAAGTACTAAAATTAGAGGACCTATAGTATAATTACATTATTTTTCATAAGTGTGTGTTTAAAACCCCAAAAAATCATAAACTTTATATTTCTGGAAAGTTTCAACCCTCTTTTACTCTCTTTTCAACTTTTCCTCTTATAGAAGGAAACTTTTGATCGACGTTTTTTCACCGAATGTTGCTCCGTTTTCGACACCTCATGCACCATTGTGTTCCTTGTATCGTCTCGAGTCCACTGGTGTCCATTTTGTCTCTGTTTCTGCCAGCGTGTAAGAGGGTAAGGAAGATTAAGTTTTTGATATTTCAAAATCGCTCTCCGCTTTGAACCGAGCTCCAAACCTCTTAAAACATACGTGTGAATTTTTTCAGAATTTTTCTTACCCATTGAGGCGCCGCCGCTACGTGTGGGGAAGTTCCACCGCCTGGTGGATTGCTAGAACTTGGGTCGACCCGAATTCTGACCTGACCCGCTATCCGACCTGATCTACTTTCTAACCCGACCCAACCCGAACCAAACCGATCAACCGTTGACTGGCATTGATTTTATTTTAAACCCCCATATTGACATTTTTCGACGTTCTGAGTCTGATTTCGTGATCCGTTTTGCTAAATTTTAACCCGAAGGCCCCGAATCGAGTCTATTAATCTGAAAATGCTTAGTATTTTTTAGCATTTTTGCTTATTTATTCGATATTTGGTTATGGAATTGATTCGAGATTATATTTTTATGAAGGTACTCGTGTTTCACTCGACCAAAGATTGGTTAGATCCAGTGCTTCCGTCCGTCAGATCTACACGATTCGCGTTCCTCAAGAGTTACTCGTATGTTTCTGCAAATTGTTTAAATAGAGGTTTTATTATTCATATTAGGATTCCGATATAGAATTTTCGATTTGTAGGATCTAACACTGCCGCTGATCGTGATAGGAAAACTCAGTAGTAGGCTTTCCTATTATACTACTCAGACATGTACATGTGTGTTTCGTGATGGTGTTACATTATTGTTTTAAACTATTCATCTGAACTGTTTTAGATTTCTAATAATACTGAATATTTTTTACGACACGATACTTGATTTTCTGAATATCGTTTATCTGATATCTAATTGACTATACATTTCTAATATGATCTCTGATTTCTGTATTTTCATATCTGATTTCTGAGTCTGGAATATTTTCGTGTTTTAATGGATTAAACTACCGTTTTCACTCGAATACATACATGTTTATTACTGTCATTAGGGGTATTATTGGAGGAAATATATCAGGCCTAGTCCATGACTTGTAAGACCATACTGCATGCTCCTCTGCTTTGTGCTAAGGGTAAGTCCTTACCGTAGGCTCCTCTGTTTGTGCTCAGGGTAAGTCCTTACCGCAAGTCCTTATGCTATATGTATAAGGCCTTATTGGGTGTACATGTGGGTGTATGGTTCTGGGGAACCTACACATTCTACTAATCGGATATGGTAGTGTTCATATTTTTAAAACATGTTTGATGAACTATTTTTTTATTGAAGTATTTTATCTTTAGGGTTTTATACACCGTAAGGAGCACATTGGGCTTTTTTAGCTCATTCTGTAAATTTTAACCTTTTTAAATAGTAGCAGACCGTAGGATAGCAGACTTTGCATCAGGAGGATCGACTACTCTTATTTTTGTACCACTGTATATCTCTATATGCCTTTTTTGTTAAACTTTGGTGACATTTGTTTTTACTACCGTCTCGATATATCTGTATTACCAGTATTTTATTATATATATGATTTATACAGTTTTCTGATATATATATATATATATATATATATATATATATATATCTTATGAACCTTTCTTATGACTAATTTCATATTATACTGTTATATGAATTTTAACGTTGTCTTAAATAAGAAAAGAGATTTCTAAATAAGATATGTAACAACCTAGATTTAGCATAACGTCCAAACCGGGTCTAGGGGGTTATACAATATCTATTCAAAGATAGCTCTTAATCATTTGACGTCGAAGGTTCACACCCCTTACATTCTTAGTGCTCGAACTTGAGACCTTAGAGAATAATAACAATTCCTTTGTTACTATGACTGTTTGGTTCGTGCAAGTGTGAACTATTCTTTTTTGTTAAGCAGAACTATTCTTTTTTACTGGTTATAATCCTTAAATAATATCATCATACATCTAACATATATTTCTTAAATAATTATTTTCTATATTTTAAAAGATTAATTCCGAATATGATTTGGATGATTTAACGAAGGCTTTAAATAACTGTTAAATATGTTAAAATTATTGTTCTTTTTATCGGAATGAAAGTTTATAGGCACTTCTTTCTTTTTTATATATAATCTACTTTTATATTCAAAATCATGAAATTAAGTTTTATAATATAAATGAATGCATATACCTGATAAAACCAATAATATTGAGATTTTATTTGATTTATTATTATTATTATTATTCATCTATTTTACCGGAAACTTGAATTGGAGAAAATGATTCATATCACAGGCTTGCTAAAAGCTAACTACCGAAAATCCAGTTAACACGAACATGTAATTTGTTTGGGTTTTATATCACATATTGCTTCATTTTTTCTGATGTAAATTCCTTTATGGGTGAAAGACAATTAGATAAGCAAAGCATGAAGATGGTGGTGGAGATTCTGATTGGAAATCTCTTTTATGTTCAAGTCAGTGATGATGCCACAATCGGTGACCTGAAGAAAGAGATCGAAGCTCGGGAAAATTTTCCAACGATCGTATGATCTTTGTAGTCGACCACAAAAACTAGAATCGGACTATAACAAAAGAAGAAGATAGAACTTTTCTAGTTGATTGTGGAACGAAAGATGGATCTCACATTTATCTCTTCTTTAATTCTCTCTAACACCGAATCACTTATCATCATATTTTTACTTTGTCGGAATCTCCTTTGGATAGTCCTTTATCCCTTTGGAAAGTAGACACTAGGGTTATCCAAAATTGAAACTTAGTATTTGGTTTTGATTTTGATTGTCAATGTTCTTAAAAACTAGAACATCAACATGCATCGGCGAAATGAACCGTGATAAGCCTGTAGGAGAATTGGTCTTCAATAAGTTCCTACCAGAATTAGTTGATATAATGTTGCAGGTTGCTCTAGAATTACTATAAGTTGTTTACTTTATGCCATGTATAACCAAAAGAAATCTAGAAGGAAAAAAACAAAACAAAATGATATCAATAAAGTAACAACACCTACATAAGATTAAAACTATGCATATTCGTGGTTGTAATAGTGTCAAATAAAAATCACTTGAAAAGAAAATCTATCTTTTGAACCTATTGAGTGACTTAAACAATAAAATGAAATGTTGTTCTCCCTAAACGGATCTGAATTTGAGTTGTTACGTCTGCAAGATGTATATGTGTTGTCAATAAGCTAAAAACATTCTTAACGAATACTACATTAATATTAAAAAAAACTCTACCTTTCAAGGCATCATAATATTATAAACCTATAACTTAAATTATCCATCCTTATTCGCCTCTAGACATGCGTGGCTAATTTTCGTTTCCCAATATTTATTCAACATTTCACGGATCAAAGTGGCTATCGTATTGCCATTATTTTCTATATTTTGAAAAGATTATTGCTTCAACTCCGTTAAATTATTTAACGAAGACTCCAAAACTCCAAATAACTGCGGAATATGTTAAAATCAATATTCTCCAACAATTATAATAAAATATTATACGATAAATTGAAAGGTATAGGCGTAACCTTTCTTTTTATATAATCTAAAAATATTTAATTTTATACTAATATAAATGAGTATATATACCTAATGAAATCAATAATATTGACATTTACTTTATTTAGTTTGTTTTTCTTTTCTTTGTTAAAAAATTTGAATGGGAAAAGTGATTCATATCACAAGCATGCTAAAAACTAACATTTTTTCTTATGTAAATCCCTTCATGGACGAGAGACATTTTGATAAGGAAAGCATGAAGGTGGTGATGCAGATTCTGACTGGAAACCTCTTTTACGTTCAAGTCAACAACAATGCCACATTCAATGACCTAAAGAAAGAGATCGAAGATCGGGAAAATTTGACCAGCGATCGTATGATTTTTCTCGTCGACCACAAAGACCGAAGCCATATTATAACAAAAGAAGATGATGCAGCTTCTCTAATAGATCTCACATTTATCTCTTCTTCAATCCTCTCAATACTGAATCATCTTATCATCATCTTTTCACTTTACCGGAATCTCTCTTGGGATAACAGTTTATCCTCTTATCATCATCATTTTAGCACAAATGTTATTGATTTGGTTTCAGTTAACTTTTTTTCAAATATCTCAAGGTTACATCTAACTGCAATTTTAGCATTTAATAACTATATATTCGAACAAATGAAGTAAAGTTTAATATTAAAGAAATTCAAAACCAACCTTTTGTTCTTCTTTTTAAAAAACCATCTTTCCAAATTCTATATTCTTTTTCTATTTCCAGATATTTTCCTATACAAATATCTAGTAATAGGTATTAGGTCCAGGTAAGCCATTCACTTTCATCATACATAAATACTTGCTTGGAACAATAGCACCTGCTTTTGAACACAGATCAACCACCGCTGGTGCATGCCCGTAGTAATCCCGACCTTCGTTCAAAAGCACTTTTGGATCCTGAGGCCGTCGCCGCCACACCATCTTTGGGGGGACCAAGTCATTAACCTTGGCCTTTATCCAATAATGGGAGCCACGCCAACTCTCATAACTAAATACTCCACAAAGACGAGCTTGAAGGCCAGATGGCCCAATGTGAACTTCGGAACAATGTTTGCAAACTTTTGCAGGATAGACCGTGAGCAGCTTCCTAACACCGGATCTAAGTCTCTCCCATGCCTTCAAGGTGCCATTTGCTACCACCCTTATATCATCATCGGACAAAGACTCGATTCCACTGATTCCACCACAAGATTTTTCTTCGGTGGTTAATGAACCAGATCTCAAGATTTCATCTGTTCCATCTGCTCCTGCTTGCATGCAAAGCTCCACGATTGCGGGAACACGTTCGAAATCAAATCTTTGCTGGTGTTTGAAATCACCCTGAAACATGTTGTGCATATGAAAAGCTTCTACAGGGACAACTATGTCATTCAAGCCACCATGGACCCATTCATGAACCCGATTCTTTCCAATGCGCCTGTATCCGTGGCAAGTCTGGATTAAATGACCTTTCTCACCAATGTATACCTCTGGACAAAACCTGCAAACATTTATATCAATCAATGGCTTTTTAAAAATTAAAAATAAACAGAGGTTAGAGTAATGCAGTAAAATTAGAGGGATTTAACTCGATGTTTAAAAAATAAAGGACTAGAATCAAACTAGTCAGCGCTTTGGTTACCGGTACAACCAGTTCAACCACTTGAACTGATGGACGGTTTGATGTTTTCTTGTTTTTAATGTTAAAATACTTTAAACACTTATCTAATGTAAAATAAATTATAAAAATACTTAATAATTAAAACCAAAAAGCTTTTATCTTAATGCTAATATCTTTAGTTTTTGTAGAAGTACCCATTTTTAGCTCTCGTGTACTACAATGGATATGAATATATGACCTCTAAGGTCAGCCTACCCAAAAGTCTTTGTTTGCATATGCTATAGCAGTTAAGTCTAGCATGAATGAAAGCTTACTTCGTACTATTTATAAACGAGGCAAAATCAGATTAAGGTGTATTTGAATAGATATATTAAATGAGGAGCAGTGGGTCCTACTTGCAAGCAACTATGGGGAATAGTTTGAGAAGGGTGAAGACTCCTTGGAAAAGCAGTTCTCTGGCCTTGAGAACCTCTTCAGCCACTGGAATCATTCCAGGCACTGGATAATCCTTGGCTCGATTCTCAATTCTCTTGAGTATCATTGGCCTAAGCTTCTTCAGGTCTATTTTCGAGTTGTATGATCTCCAATGACCCCTGAATGCCATCGGCATAGATTCTGCTAAAAGATATTGCATTAAACAACCTGAAAACAGCAGAACTAAATAGTAGAAGCATCATTGATATGCTTTCCAACTTCCAAAATCAAGAACCTGACTTTCTCAGTTAAATTATAGATTTTACCTACTGAATTAGAAGAACCATACGAGATATTTTAAGAAATTAAAAAAAACATAAAAGTGAATAAGTTTGACAATTTGGGAAAGCCAAAAAGCATCACCTAAAGAGTCAAGCATTATAGAATTAGAAAAGCTCATGACAACCAATCAGCTAATGAAAGTAGCTCTCAAAGTCCTTCAATTCACTAGAAACCTACGTTGCTCCAAATACTTTTCTTTAAGTACCCATGTTTGATACTCATGTCTAACACTCATCCAGGCATTAGAATGGCGATGTGTTTCTCCAAAGACCCCCTAGATACATAGGAATTTTGGGGAAAAAATAATTATACCTATGTTAGACACATACAGATACCACGCTGACATCCGACTTTAAGTAACTTATCTAGAAAAACACCCCAACCAAAGAAAAGCATCCCCTTACAACTTTCATCCTACTGTGCTCTCCAAATAGCAACTCTTCTCAAAATCTCAAAAGATGCTGAGTTGGAATTCCATTTTAACCAAGGATTCTTGCGATTCCAAATGATCCAGCTAAACATACCCAAATCCAAGCAACATAGGAGCAAGTATCCCACATGAAATCTAATTTGTAACAATAGATAAAATGAAGCATAATTATTTTCATAAAAAGAAACATTTTGACAAACACATGAAACCCGTATTCCATATCAACATTTTAGAAAATGAAATTATTCTCCCGGAAGAATAAAAAAAAATGAAACTCAACTAGTCAACAATAAGATAAACAAAAATGTAGGAAACAGTTCCAGTAACACAATTAACTTCAAAATTCTCACGTATAATGAAAATTTGGATGAAAAGAAAAAACCCACAAATTTTAAACACAGTAGACAATTGGGTAATCGGGAATCATTACGAGTTTAGTGTTTCATGAGTGTCGAGTTTTCAGTGTTCTGATTTCTTGACTCATAGAAATTTTAGTTTTACGTACCTAGTTGTAGATACAACCTCTTTGATAATAGCGAAAGAGCGCGGGTACTTCCACTCGACATCGTCGAATCACTAAGGCCAACTTTCGGCCCTGCTTGATGAGTTGGTCTTGCAGTAAAGCTCCCCTATGCCTTTACACTCGACGTCGAAATCAGAGAAATCCTTGAGGGATCTGTTAACTGGCAGCCAGAGCCGAGAGTGAAATGAGAAATAACACCATCTCAGGCGAACGAGAAGTTAGGTCGCTAAACACTTAGATTTCGGGTATCGGATTCGGGTGCTTCGGTGGAAGGAGGAGCGACTAGATGAGTATGCAGCCAATAACAATCATGTCATTAAAAATAGAATATTTATCAATAAAAGATGTATTTGTGTAAATTAAATTTTATGGTAAGTTACGCGTTTAATATATAAATTATCAGTTTTAGTCTATTTTTATATGTATATATTTAATTTTTTTTAAAATTATATCTGACGTTTCGTTTTGTTTCGTTTTAGTATCTCGTTATTAAAAACTTAACGGGTTATTAACACATTTTTATGAGTAAATTGCAAGACTCATCACACAATTATTTTCTCACTCTTATTTTGGTCACTAAAGTTTAATTTTTTTAAATTTAATTACTTAATTTTCAAATTACTCCTAATTCAATCGTTCTAACTTTCAAATTTATTTATTTTTAATTATATATTAATAAAATAATAATAAAAAATATCATGTCATAAAAATTATTAATAAAATAAAATATTTTTTGATTAATTCGGGGTAAGTACATGGCAATATTTGTTCAAAGATAACTCTCAACCATTTGACATTGAACACTCACACCCTGGTATTACTGGTGCTCGAAACCCGAGACCTCAATGAATAACAACAATTTCTTTACCACTGAAGTCACTTGGTTTGTGCAATAAAATAAAATATAGTTATTAAAATAAGAGCAATTTAAAAGTTGAGTATTTAAATTGAAATTTTCTAAACTTTAGTATCAAAATAGGAGTGAGAAGATAGTTTAGTGATGAATGATGTAATCTACATGGCGTAACCGTCCCTTGAGCTCGAAACGTAACCGTCCCTTGAGCTCAGAATGAGTCTCGACTTATTTGTGAAAGATTCGATTTTTTGTGAAGAAATGTTTTGGAGTCACCATCGACCTTTTGGGTTAGGTAGGTCGAATACCTAAAAAAATATCTTTTAAAAGAGTTTTTTTTTAAAAAAAAACATCGTTTTAAAAGATAAACAAGTCTACGTATAACCAGAAATTTATTTTTTGAATAAAAAAAAGTTTGGGGTCGGTTACGCGTGGGGAAGGATAAGTACCCCCACAATGCCCAAAATTGGTACCACATTGATTATAAATTGTCTCTAATAGTGGAAATCTAAGAATTCAAATATAAATTTAAGTTACGATCATATTATTCCAAATTCAACCATACAATTTTCATAAATTGTCATTTATTTAAGCTTAAATGAATTTAAAATTTATTTAATTGAGAAATAACAATTTTACCATTAATGAAACCTTATATTTACATCCATACAAAGCCACATAACCTTTTTCATCTTCCCAGATTCAAAGAAGAACAAAATAATTTACCCTTTACAACTTTACTCATGCTCTTTTCCAAAAACTTCAATCTTTTAATTTTTTTCCAAGTCCAAATTGGACATGGAAATAAATTCTCAAATCTAATGATCCGCATTATTTTCATCCTTTTAAAATATGGAAAAATATTTCTAAGCTTAATTTAATAACTTTCAAATTTTCTTAAATTTTCTATTTAATTCGATTTACTGAATTTTCACTAAATTTTAATACTTTCTAGCTTTTTAACATAAATTTTGGATCAAGAATCTGATCACTGTCAAATAATCATTCTTGGGGGTGATCTATTCATTTATGAAATGCAAATTCTTCTTGTGAAAATTACCACTTTGGTCTGTATACTTTTCCCAACTTTATACTTTGGCCACTAAACTTTCAAAATTTACATTTTGGTTATTATCCAAGATTTTGGGGTATTACATTATGAGATTGGATTTTGGGATCATGTAATTGTATTCTCATTTGGATCAGATCATAATTTGGATATATGATATTTGAATATATTTTATTCGGATATATGTTATTCAGATCTGATCAGATATCAGATATGTGTATCATTTGCATATCATATCAGGACGAATTTTGATAGGGGAAGTTCAGTGCATTCACTCGACGAGGTAATTGTCACTTTTTTTTATTTAGCGGCCTCTGCTTGTGTGGTAGACCCCACTCTTTAGAATTGAGTGAATGTAGTTTGAGTGGTTCTGGGGAACCCACTCACTGATGAAGTGTTTGGAGTATGGGTGGCTGCATAAGAATTTGCATATCATTGTTGATTTGGACTATGAATAATTGTGGTTTATTTGGATTAAGCTATGACTTGTTTTTGTTTGCACTTTAGAGGTACACTAAACTTTACAGCTTACACCCCCTTAGTTTTTCTCTTTCAGATACTCAAGTTAGGAGAACTAATACTTGGAGTTTCGATATTACCCCGATTTTATTTTATTCAATATTACATTTTTTTACTTGGGTTTTCTATTGCACATTTAATTAATATTTATTTTGGATATTATTTGTCATGTTTGATTATCTTGGGACATTAAACATAAATTTTGTTTTAGACATTGAGACTTGAATTTTGAATTTTATAAACATTTGGATTATGATTTAATTATTACTAATTTATTAAAGTTACTTTAAGTGTTTGCAATCTATAAATACGAGGGTAAATTTTCAATTTATTTTAAATAATGTTTTGGTACGATTTTGGGAAATTTAGTTAATGAGCTTTCTAGATTCAACCTAATTCTTTTAGGTTGGGTTTAGGGGGTTATAATCCCTTAGATCGATCATGGTAATCCGTTGTTTGTCATGATGTGACAGCCAATCTGTTGAAAAGATTTTGATATTTCGATATAACAAATTCAGTTAAATGAATTTTAAGATTTTCCAAATGATTTTCTAAGTATATTCGATAGAATTATTCGAATATCAAAACATTACTCCAAATCTTTCAAAGATCATTTTTAATCCTTACTCAAAGTGTAAAATTAAGTTTTAATCTTAAAACAATTTCAAAATAATTTTACAAAGTATTTCGAACCATTTCAAAGCCAAAAATTCCAGATTGCTCAGAGGGAACCGATTCCCCCCTGAATGGTTTGGCTCCGAGAATTCCAGTATGCTCGGAGGGAACCGATTCCCCCCTAGGGGGTACCGATTCCCCCCTTGTATAACAGTTGAAATATTTGAATTTTACACTTAGGGAACCGATTCCCCCCACGCTCCAAGCTGTTTTATTAATTGTTTTCACACTAAAATGGCTATATGATCTTCACTAATCATCCCCAACGTTTAGAAGTGACTCAAGGTGTATTTAAGCAAGCTTAGAAGCCATTTATCAACAACAAGAAACATCAAGCAATTAGAATCAAGAGAGAATCAAAGAGAAAGCATCAAACCTCAAGCTTGAGCATTTCAAGCCTATTTTTCATTCAATATTCATTTTGCTTTCAAGAACACTTATTGTGCTCAATTGTATTTATTCTTGAGTGTTCCTTCTTTGTTTTAGAATTGTGCAAACATATTTGCCTTGTGAGGTTTTTCTTGTAAGTTTGCAAATTTGTATTTTTCTTTGAGAAAAGAGTGTTCTCAAGAATTGGGGTATATTCTTGAGGGAGTTGTAAGGTTATATCTTTGGCCTCAAAAGAAAGAAAAAATTAGTGAATTTGTTGGTAAATCATTAGTGTGGATAGCTAATGTAGTGGACGTAGACTTTGGTTGATAAAGTCGAACCACTCTAAATCGCTGTGCAATTTCTTTTAATTTTCTGCAAAAGCTTCCACCAAAATTTTTATTGCCAATTCACCCCCCTCTTGGTCGATTCAGTCAATCGATTAACTCAACTATTGGCATCAGAGCCTAACTCATTTGAAGGTTTAATTGCCTCTTGAGTCGATTTGGGAAGAGTTATATCGATAATCAAAGTCATCAATGGCCTCCGCTTCAAACTTAGACTCCAGTCTCTACTCGATGCCCGTCAACAAGCCTCATTTCTTCAATGGAGCTAACTATGCCTATTGGAAGAATATAATGATGTACTTCATTCAAGCAAGTGACATGGGAGCATGGAATACTGTAGAAGAAGGATACATCAAACCTCTCACTCATCCAAGGTTGTGGAGTGAATGAGAGACAAGAATGTTCCAGCTCAACTCCAAAGCCATTCATATCATTTTTTGTGCTCTTGGACCAGATGAATACGGAAGAGTTTCATCGTGTACAACCGCCAAAGAAATATGTGACAAACTTCAAGTCACTCATGAAGGTACCGATGAGGTAAAGAAATCTAAAATTAGTATTTTAACGCATAGCTATGAAAATTTCAGGATGAAACCAAATGAAGATATCAAAGCTATGACGGATAGATTTTCAACGATTTTCAATGGTCTCAAATCATATGGAGAGATCATTTCAAATGAAAAGCTTGTGAGGAAGTTAGTCTACTCCCTCCCAAAATCGTGGCAATCAAAGAAGATGGCAATCATCGAGTCTAAGGACTTAACGTTCTTAACTCTTGAAGAGCTAATTGGGCCACTCCTCACTCATGAAATGATGCTCGAAGATGAGGTGGACCTCGACAAGATTGAGGAGACACCAAAGGAGAAGGAGAAGAAGAAAAACATTGGAGTTGCTTTCAAATCCACAAAAGATGAGAGTGATTCGAATAATGATGACGATGACGAGGAAATGGCATTGTTTGCCAAACGGTTCAGAAAAATGATGAGACCTTATCGAGGAAGAAAATTCAAACGAAATGAAGGCCTAAAAAATGAACCGAAAGAGAAGGACCCAATCATTTGCTACGAATGCAAAAAGCAGGGCATGTCAAATATAATTGCCCACAATTGAAGAAAAATGGTCAATCAAAGAATAAGCACAAGGCTCATGTGACTACATGGAGCGATGAAGAAAGTTCCGATGAAGAGGAACAAGAAATAGCTAACTTGTGCTTGATGGCATTTGGGGAAGATTCTAAGGTAACCTCTAACTCATCCGATTTTGATGATTTATCCTATGATGAGTTATTAGAGGAATATAATGGGTTGGCTTCGGATTATGAGAAATTATTTTTAAAATATAAAAATGATGTTTCAAAATTGAAAAATGAAAACAAACTCATATCCAAAACCAACAATGATCTTGAAAGTAAAATCAAAGATTTGCAAATCAAACTAGAAGAGTTTGAAAAGAA